TTGCTAGCTACTCGCTGCATTCGAGTGTATCAATATGAGAGGTTCAGTAACTTGACTTAATCAAACTTAAGAGGTATTGAGGTAACAATAATTTTTTCGACGATATTTTTCCCACTCGGTTGCTGAGGAGATAGTTGTTAAGATCATCCCAGATTGTATACTCGCGATTCAGTATTAACACCAACCCATAAGCCTACTGCATTGATACAAGTGAAACACAGCACATATTTCCTACTAGAAACTGAACAATAATTCCAAATGAATTCTATATCAACTTCATACACTGTGCAACAAATGACGACTTGTGTGCTGCTGTCTCCGCTCGCAGTGTAGACTATTTCCATACAGTATCAACATCATACACTGTGCAACAAATGACGAATTGTGTGCTGTTGTGAGGTCAGTCAGCCAAGAGTCGTTGAGTGAGATGGCTAGTAACACTAGTGGTCATCTGGCGACCATATGGGATATACGATAAGGCGTACCAGAATAGAGCTAGAAACTGGATGATGACCGCAAGGAGTATCAACGCTCGGTGATGCGGGGAGTGAATACATGTATAAAGTGTAGTGAATAGTGCTAGGACGTATCTGAAATAATAAACACGATCGATGACCCTTTACAAACAACAAAACAGACAAGGCGGTCCACCCTGGTCTAACTAGGCCGACGACGACATTGGACTTCAAATTGGCACACGCACCAGTAGTGTAACACCACCCTGGTGATGGAAGAGAAAGTTCCCCTATGTGGTGCACTCCAGAGTACACCTCTCTTGAGCGACTTTCGTATCCTATCTCAGGCTGAATGAATATATGTTCGCTTCCCTCAGCTGAGCTCAGGAGTTCCTCAGGGAAAAATTCACACGAATTCAGCAAGAAATGCACAGAAAGATTACTCTAAGAATTTCCTCAAAATTTTCATAACTCTGCCACCAACACATACTACTCCCAACACACATAATCAGCTCTAAGCTCTGACATATTCACAAAAACCGACATGTTATCAAGTTACGAGAGGGACATCGTCTCAGCACCGTTTGCGTCGAATAACCGCACAGACACTATGGTGAATCGTTAGAAGTGACTCTTTCCTTAGGAGCAGTTACGGTTGCCCAATTGATCGAGAATTCAGATGACTGCAGTCCGCGGTCCAACTACATGTGTTGGAGACAGTATGAAAATTCCGAGGAAATTTTGAAAGAAATTCATACTGGTTCGCATGTGAAATTCCACAAGAGGGAAACCCTAAGCTCAGCTGAGGAAAGTTGACATCTATTTCATTCCCTAGAATGATGACAACTGCCAACGGAAACTGCTCTATTTCTCAGTCTAACCTAGCCTAGTGTTCACTCAAAGCTACCCCTCACTCACATTCCAGCAGCGATGACTCTGTTATTTCGGAACATGCACTTCACTTGTCGTAGTGGCCCTACTAGAAACATAGTAGATACCAGCTGTAGTACATTACCCAGTGTGTACCTATTACAAGGTATATAACGATCCTGGTCTCGAATAGGTAGAGCGTTGCTTAACGCAGTGAACTCGATGTCATCAGACCTAACCCCCAGAGTCTAGTACTAAAGGTAGTCACAGTAGTAGTAGTAGTAGTAGTAGTAGTAGTAGTAGTAGTAGTAGTAGTAGTAGTAGTAGTAGTGCAAAGTAAAGCTCAATGGCTTTCACATTGAAGGCTTACACCATACCATCATGATGATAACTACTAGATTAAGTTTTTTTCCCGAAAATTTAAAAATTTTGTCAGTGTTTCACCCATGGTTCAAACTGATGTGAGCTGGAGATTCTGTACGAGCAACTCTTATCCACTACGCTAGTGCAAATCTGGTCGGTCTGCCCAGGAGAAGGAGAGTAAATGAACCGAAGGAGCCGATCGTAATGAGGGTACCCGCGGTGAAACAGCATGCCCATCCGATGACCTGTGGAGACTTCAGTAAAGGGGGTTGATAGTACGGAAGGAGACTACTCGTTGTTCGATGGTGAGACTAGGGAATAGGCTGTCGTCGTGATCATACTTCCAAACATACGACATGCATAACATCATTCGCTGACGATAACGTCGATCAAACAACTGTGCTTTACCAAAACTGTGTTTATCTGATATCGAAGCAATCCTCGCAGCATACTATGCTGCGAGGTACTCCCCGATATGCATATACTATTAGGAGGTTTCCCCGTAGGAAGTTTCCATCTGGAGTAAACTGTATAACAGACTTGCTGGCCGACGCGGTGATCTCAGGATAAGCCTTAAATTCAATAAATGAATCTCTATCTCGAGACAAGACCATCGCCACATGCAGAAAAGGAACCAGTTCATTATTGAGTAAACAACCAAATAACTGTGCCGGTGACGCGAGTGTCGTATCCACGAAAACTTCGCCTTCACCATATCCTTTTTTCGAGAAGCATCAGCAATCAATGCAGCTCTGAGTCTTGCTCTTCTCAGTCTCACAGCGATATCATCAGCCTGAGGCTGTTCGGCATCATTATCCAATACAGCACCCATAGCGACAGCACAAGCATCTACCATTTCTCCCAACAAATTGTTGGCAACAATTCGGCATCATCAACCGCTGCCTTCAACGTTCTCAAAGAGTCAACCGAAAAGGGTGGTTGAGCTAATGTCTCAACTATGGTCCCACACAGATCTGGAGAAGTTGAAAACGTCGACATCAACAACGGTGCATCCATATTTTAAAACAAAAGAAAAGGAACCTAAAGAAAGAGGTACACAAAATACGAGGGCAATTCAAGGAAACGGTACCCTTTATCCACCACACAACCAAATAATCCCTAAGGGGAGATCGACCATCCAACAACACATGGATTCCGACAACTATCGACCACATACCCGTTCAACACCGAGCAAACTCCCCCAACACGGGGACACATCCATAAGTACACCAGACAGGTGACTAACCAACCACTACCACAACACAAGGCAAATCCAAACAAACAGTGAAAGGAACATACACAAGTGCATAGCTTAACATACATCGGTCCGACCAATAACGTAATCGGAACCATTCAGTTGGACTGACTAACAAGGATAGACGTAGAGTAGACAGATAGAGTCTCTGTCATAGAGACGTAACAAACCGACAAAGCAGCAATAACAAATTGTACGAGGAAACAGAAAGGAAAGAAACAATCGAATGCTCAGATGTTAGCCTCAACAATAAACATTATAGTTGAGTTTCCAGGAACACCACGAGGAGGTCTCTGAGCTCGTTAAACGAGCCTCGTTTCCATCTAACAGTAAATCACAATATATTCGTTCTTGAACTAGCCCCATAAATGGACCTTCGTAGCCGCGTAAGCCAGTCGAGCGACCGCCAGCTGCAACGATGATGCAGAGAGGTGCCATCGGGATAATCCAACAGCACCAGGGTGTCAGACTCAGGTCTCGGTCGTTGCCGCACATAGTGCGGTTAATGGGCTTACCTAGGCTACCACCCAAACCACTATACAACGAGATATCAAGAGTAATTGATATTTCGCGCGATTTAAATTTCGAAATCAAAATTCTATCTTGGTAAATTACAAGATACAGATGTTCGAAATCAATGGATTCACGGAATTGCCAAATTCGATTTGAAAACACACTGTGATTAACACAGGCCCGAAATGACAAAAGCAAAAAGTAATTGGTCCGATGAGAGCTTCATTTATTAAGCTTACCCTTAATCACAACCGAGTCATCTGTCGAATAATTCGACTGAAATTCGCGATCGCGAGCTCTGCAATTCAAAGGTCACTACTAGCCCGGCCTTAAGTTTGAGTACAGGCATCGTAGACAGAGACCCCGAATGACAATGTCCCTTTCACTCGTCTTAGCCTTCGGTCACGCATGACTTGTCCCTGTTGCTGTCCCCACGAGAGACTCTCCTTCATACATCGATATGCTCCGGTTTACACGTAACCAATGCTCCCATGCCTCTGGTACGCTACGGCACTAATCAACTACAATCGTTGATTAAAATAGTTGAACTATTTTTGGGTTCAGTGACCAGTCCAGTTGGGTTGAACAGTCTAGCAGTCTTCACGGCCAGTCTGGCGTTGGTTGTGCGTGCAAATTGATGTGAAGGAACAGACTGATTCCTATGTTGCGTAAATCTGGCCGGGTCTGGCCGTGCAAGCCTTTGCAATCGGAATCGGAGGAACTCAATGATTATCCCCTTTCGGAGCCTCCAATAGGGGGTAAACATCGAGTTTCATCCTAGGAGGTCAGATATGCTCCTGTGGATAATGCCGAACTCTACTCACCGTGTGATGACAGTCACAGTGATTAACAATTTTCAGTCAAGATTTTTCCCAGTAATCGATCCATGTTCAGCTATAACGTTGCTGTAATCTTCCTCGCCATCCCCGTTCGATCCTTGTGGGTAGACGGAGTTGTCGCCAGCCAGGGCTCAGAGCTTCGTTCCCTCCGTGCTCCTGTTGTCGCTGAGGAACCCCCCAATTGCTTACCTGACGTTTCTGACTTCGCGGGCAAAGATTATTGTTGGTTTATTCTGAATGATACAGTCGAACACAAGTGGTCTTCGGGAGTGCTCATTCGCGGTGACCAAGGACCTCTACCTTTTTTCTCTACTCTACAACTCGTAGTCATCGTGGACAAGAACTGGCGTCCTTACGATGTTGGCATATGGGCGTCGGGTTATACTAACCGCTTCTACGCTCTCCCTTTGGGCATGGGAGCCGACATATCCTTCAGCATACCAGAAGTCAACCGTGTCGGTGGAGAAACCACTAACGACAACGCGACGTTGGAGTTTGACGTACAACTGTTCACCACTGTGACCATTCCTACCATTGGTCGGGTCAACGCGAAGGCGGTGAAGAAAGCTCGTGCCTATGTAGATAAGATCCGTCCTGATAATGGAGCCTTTGTGTTCATTTCTGCTGTTGGTGAGGCCGACGGAATACACTCTAAAATAATTTTCCATGCAACCGTCCATGGCACAGACCTCAAATCTTGGCTTTACGAAAGTTATGTCGAGATCCATATCAGTTATCATGAACATGACCTAACAATGTACTATGATAAAGTGTTCCCTATCTTCCGTGCGTATACCAATCTTTAGTCTTATGGTGCTTGGAGCAGTGCTCCGACATTATTCATGGCGTTAAGGCATTCCGTGCTGTGAGATTGGCGATTATGGATCGTACTTGACTCACGGTCACCCTTTTGAAGCTCAACTTTTTGCCTAACAGATTTGGCGTTTGGGATCGGTGTCCACTACACCGTTTAAAGGCATGTTTTGCGTTTAGTAAGGTCAAGTTCGCAGGGCGAGCACTCGTCCGAGCCAAGATACGCCTTAGATCAATCTCGCCAGCGCGCTCGATAGAAAATCAATCTCGACGAAACGTGCCATTAGCACAATCAATTTCAACGGCATGTCTGAAGTCGATTTCGCTGAAGTCGATTTCCCATTGAGTAGTCTACTCAGAGTAGACCTGTAGAGAATCCACAGGCGTGCGGACGAGACAAAGCTCAAGCGCTAGGTTTATGTTATAATGATACCACTGCACGGTCCCCTGCGATTGCCGTTACAGTGCGCTATAGTGTTGGAAAATATGCACATGGGCAAATATATGTGTTGGTGACAATACGAAACTCTGAAGAGATTTTGAAAGATTCTTATGGGTGTCTGTCCACTCCTTCCTGAATTCATGAGTTAATTTTCATAGTATTTTGAGGAAACTTCTAATCCATTAGCTAGTAATGATGAATCAATGCGGCAATGGACAACTTCACTATAATCGGGAATTTTTCGGACAATCGCAAGAGTTGGATCTCCCAGGTTCTCCAACAAGTTATAGATATACAGATAGTTCAAGCCTCAGTTGAATATACGTTCCTCCAACTGCGTGACTCATATCGATGGTCTCATTCGGGAGCTCTATTGACCAGATCGGCCAACCTACGCGATAGAAGCTCATGTAGAAGGACTGCTGCTTCGTGCTCCATCCGAGATGCTGATTCTTCCAAAGTCCTTTCGACCTTGGTGACACCATCGGTGACACTGGTAGTAGACGACGACCCTGACCGACTTGGTGCTGTCTGTGATGGTGGCCAGTTATTCACTGAAAATGCGAAACCTGACAAGTACAGTAGTCTAGCAAACCTACTTATTCCAACCGCTATAGTAGTGTGAATTCGCGGTCCCGAAGTGGCCGTCACAGCCGTGCACAGTTTCTCCTCAACAGCTCGCGATCTCAACAAAACCTACCACCAGCAACAACAACACGTTTCCTGAGACAACACGATAATCTTCCGACTTGTGTGAAATTAAGTTGTTTTGGGCGTCCGAAAGCTCCATCGCTGAGAATATCCTCGATGTACATAGGAGCTCTCGTGATGATCTCCTGTTCCGGTATGAGCCTTGTCATGCTATCCTCAGCCTAAAGTGAATATCACAATAACAACAGCTTTCTCCCCCACCCACCTCTTTGATGGCCCCGAGCCACTCCTTATACAATGCAACCAAGGCTTGCACATTCCTCACCTGCGACGCTCGTGTCTCCAGTGCTTCCTATCAAATCATACATGCTACGTTGATAATAATGAAAACACCTTACAATCGCTGCTTCCACGCTAGCAGACCCTCGGCCACCAACCCGAACTTGGGACACCTGAAACTTGCGGTAACGAAGTTTTCTCAGAAGTGACATACACGTGTTCTGAGAGTAGAGCTCTTCTCCTTAACACTTTCGAATGCCCCCCTGAGCCAGCCCGACATGAACAACGATAATAAAACTGCGTTCCAAGTGACGTGGATCATATTTTGCTTACATCGTTTACTACGATGATACCTAAAATTTTCGCATTTAGTTTTCAGCAAGTTAATATGAACTTCTTGTCAATTCACTCATCAACGATGTATTTGTATTACGAAAACAGCACTGGATATACCAGGTCACTTTCATAAAAATGAAAGTATATGTTCCGCGTTGCGTGAATACCACTTCTCCGTCTTTTTGTGTTACTGCCACCCATGGCGCATTCCGCCAGCTCTTGTGTTGCTAGCTACTCGCTGCATTCGAGTGTATCAATATGAGAGGTTCAGTAACTTGACTTAATCAAACTTAAGAGGTATTGAGGTAACAATAATTTTTTCGACGATATTTTTCCCACTCGGTTGCTGAGGAGATAGTTGTTAAGATCATCCCAGATTGTATACTCGCGATTCAGTATTAACACCAACCCATAAGCCTACTGCATTGATACAAGTGAAACACAGCACATATTTCCTACTAGAAACTGAACAATAATTCCAAATGAATTCTATATCAACTTCATACACTGTGCAACAAATGACGACTTGTGTGCTGCTGTCTCCGCTCGCAGTGTAGACTATTTCCATACAGTATCAACATCATACACTGTGCAACAAATGACGAATTGTGTGCTGTTGTGAGGTCAGTCAGCCAAGAGTCGTTGAGTGAGATGGCTAGTAACACTAGTGGTCATCTGGCGACCGTATGGAATGTACGATAAGGCGTACCAGAATAAAGCTAGGAACTGGATGATGACCGCAAGGAGTATCAACGCTCGGTGATGCGGGGAGTGAATACATGTATAAAGTGTAGTGAATAGTGCTAGGACGTATCTGAAATAACAAACACGATCGATGACCCTTTACAAACAACAAAACAGACAAGGCGGTCCACCCTGGTCTAACTAGGCAGACGACGACAGTGGACTTCAAATTGGCACACGCACCAGTAGTGTAACACCACCCTGGTGATGGAAGAGAAAGTTCCCCTATGTGGTGCACTCCAGAGTACACCTCTCTTGAGCGACTTTCGTATCCTATCTCAGGCTTGAATGAATATATGTTCGCTTCCCTCAGCTGAGCTCAGGAGTTTCCTCAGGGAAAAATTCACACGAATTCAGCAAGAAATGCACAGAAAGATTACTCTAAGAATTTCCTCAAAATTTTCATAACTCTGCCACCAACACATACTACTCCCAACACACATAATCAGCTCTAAGCTCTGACATATTCACAAAAACCGACATGTTATCAAGTTACGAGAGGGACATCGTCTCAGCACCGTTTGCGTCGAATAACCGCACAGACACTATGGTGAATCGTTAGAAGTGACTCTTTCCTTAGGAGCAGTTACGGTTGCCCAATTGATCGAGAATTCAGATGACTGCAGTCCGCGGTCCAACTACATGTGTTGGAGACAGTATGAAAATTCCGAGGAAATTTTGAAAGAAATTCATACTGGTTCGCATGTGAAATTCCACAAGAGGGAAACCCTAAGCTCAGCTGAGGAAAGTTGACATCTATTTCATTCCCTAGAATGATGACAACTGCCAACGGAAACTGCTCTATTTCTCAGTCTAACCTAGCCTAGTGTTCACTCAAAGCTACCCCTCACTCACATTCCAGCAGCGATGACTCTGTTATTTCGGAACATGCACTTCACTTGTCGTAGTGGCCCTACTAGAAACATAGTAGATACCAGCTGTAGTACATTACCCAGTGTGTACCTATTACAAGGTATATAACGATCCTGGTCTCGAATAGGTAGAGCGTTGCTTAACGCAGTGAACTCGATGTCATCAGACCTAACCCCCAGAGTCTAGTACTAAAGGTAGTCACAGTAGTAGTAGTAGTAGTAGTAGTAGTAGTAGTAGTAGTGCAAAGTAAAGCTCAATGGCTTTCACATTGAAGGCTTACACCATACCATCATGATGATAACTACTAGATTAAGTTTTTTTCCCGAAAATTTAAAGATTTTGTCAGTGTTTCACCCATGGTTCAAACTGATGTGAGCTGGAGATTCTGTACGAGCAACTCTTATCCACTACGCTAGTGCAAATCTGGTCGGTCTGCCCAGGAGAAGGAGAGTAAATGAACCGAAGGAGCCGATCGTAATGAGGGTACCCGCGGTGAAACAGCATGCCCATCCGATGACCTGTGGAGACTTCAGTAAAGGGGGTTGATAGTACGGAAGGAGACTACTCGTTGTTTGATGGTGAGACTAGGGAATAGGCTGTCGTCTTGATCAGATATCCCGATAGAATACATCCATTGATTGCTATGAGGAGGACCAGAGGAAGGAGGCGACATGTTTACTGTAGTCGAAAAATGAGGTGAGTTGAGATTTGTCGACGATTATACACGAGTAAAAATATCGGAGTTGCGCGAATAATTCCGGTTGTGCACATAATCAGCGAAAGTTGTCCCTGTCACGATCTTGAGCTACCTGTGCGAGAGGGGTATCGGAGGCTCATCGTTTCACTACAAGGCCTGCCGACCAGTTTTTGCCTTACAAACTACACTGGTGCCGGTCTCTGAGACTCTCTCCCGTGTTGTTGGCTCTTCGTGCATGAACCGTATTCTCCAATTAAGGGCTATTCCAATACGCTGTATACAATATCCTCGCACAGTATTAGTGATCAGCTATCATCTAATCCAAGACGACTTCGATAGGCCAGGCATAGTAGCAGACTGAGAAGCTCTAGTCCGGATGTGTTAACAAACAGTCGAGTCTGTTGTTCATGACGAATCAGCGAGTTCGCGTTCATTCCGGAGATACCATCACGTCTGGTGGTGAGCCCTTGAGCAACGAGGAAACCGGTGGGTACATTTTGGAGGATTCCACTGAGGGTTAGAGAACCTTCTATACCGCAAATCTTCCCATTTTCTGTGCACCTTTCCATCGATAAGACTGCTATGAAATTGAGCTTCTCGGTCTAGGACAGAAGATGTCTCGCGGGGCTCCACTCAGGTAGAGAGGAAGAACTATCGTCTGGAGCATCGGGTGCCGGAAAGGACGGGGACTTCGACCCTACAGCCGAACGATGTGAAAAGTGTCTCCACTTACAAACGTCGATGATGCTTTCGTCAGGCGCTATGCTGGAGATGCGACTACGCCATCACACAAGCGAGATCGAGTCACTCAAGGAACGCCTCGGTGAGGTCGCCACCAGTTGGTATTTCAGAACAAAATGCATACTTCTGATTAGCCATTGCCGAATCCGAAGCGCCTAGGGATGAGCTGAAGATTCGACTTGTCGAAATGATAAAGAGAAACAGGAACTTGACAGTGAGCCCTTCTAACCGGTTATCGAGTCGATTATATTGACTAACTGATCCAATGAAAAGTGCTAAGACGTAGAGATCCACCCTTCCAAGTTAAGTGGCGTGTGACGAGTCGTGGACAATTTTCTCATCGAATTTGGGAGTTGCCCACGACTCGTGGAATCGTGTCTGTGGAATCCCTTGTAGTACAGAAATGATTCTCACAGTGCGGAGCTGCAAAATGGAACGCCGAATACCAACAACGTGACGTTGAAGGATTCTCTAGGTCCGCCTAAACTCCAAAGAGGCTCAGATGAAGGCGTTGACAACTGAGATCGAAAATGAGCCGAAAACGCAAGACGAAGGAAGAGATGTTGTGGAGATTGATGCCTATAAGTCGAAATACATCAAAATGGCGAATGAGATGCAGATAATGCGACAAGAACTAAGTGCCGCCAAGGCGCAAGGTTGGTGCGCCACCACACGATGTGAACATAGATCTTCTATTGTAGTCAGTAGAATGAGGAAAATATTATTTGTCGAGATAGGAGACCAAACTATCGCGGATGAAGTAAGACTGGATTGGCGGATTCGTTGGGCGCCACACTCTGTAGATTTCCATAAAGCACCTGTGGGAGGCAGGTTTAATTGTCGAGTCTTCGCTCACTGCATTTGTTAACTTTCAATACATCATCAGGACCAGGTGACCCGGTATTGATTACCTCAGCTCACCACTGAGACACTTGGCTGCGGCCACAGCAGGGAGACAACTCGTTGTGTCATGACAGACCCGATAAGAGAAATTGAAATTGTAGTTGATGAGTAGTTCTTACTGTACATCAGTGAGTCCCGACTCCCGACCTCAGTGACAGTTCTAGTGTCACTGAGGGCTGGCAGTAGGCTTTAGCGCGAGAAATCCCCCTCGTTGGAAGGCGGCTCTCCTCCCGCAGATGATCTCTGGAGGGCTGCCAGCTGGAGGCTACGAAGGCCGTGCTAACACTATAATGAGATTGAAACGTGAAGTGAAAGCCTTGAAGATGCAACTAAAACTTTTGAGCAGCGAGAGTGCGAACTGGAAGCACACAGAAGTTAAGAGGATCTTTTTCAGGCCCTACTGGCGAACAACGGGGAGCATCACCATCCTATATCTGGTAGGGCCTCATATTATTCCAGGGCGTTATGGCATCGGTGACTGCAGTGGTCCCGAGGGGTCAGAGAAATCGTCAAGTATTAGTCGCCTGGCTGAGACTCGGAGGAATCAACTGAATGCACTACAGAAGGAGGTGGTGGAGTTGAAGGGCATACTTAGAGTAACTCGAGAAGTAAACGAAGCGGTGAAGAGTCGCAATCGAACTCTCACGGAGCGAAATACTGAGTTAAAACAACAAGTATGAAAAGATTATCCTGGCTTGATATGGAAAATAAACGATGATCAGATATCAACATTACTACACAAGAGTGATAGTGATGATAAACTAATCGATGAGATGAGAACCTTCTTGGACCGGAAGATCGAGCGTTCTGATGTCCCACCGAGTTATTCCCATGAAGACAGTACTGGGAGGGAGACAGTGTAGGCCAATCTGCACTGGTCAGGGTATAATTCATCAGCGGATTCAGCAGGAAGAGAGCTAGGACCTATTCACATGCCCCTTTTCCCGGGTCTGAAAACGGTACACGGTAAATCGCCCTCGGACTCGGAACTCGGAAACGGGAAGCACTTGAATAGGCCCCTGGTCCACCAAGAAGGATCATGACGAATTTTCCGATCCGAACCGCGGGCCTCAGTTGCCTTGCCTGATCAGCCCGAACATCCACCCCTATAGAAGGCAGTCGGCAGATCATTGACTCGTTGTATCAGGAAGGACTTGAAAATGACAACTCCTTCCAAGAATAGTTGCACACGCCAGGAGTTGGTGTATGAGGAGATCGTTGCAAAGTGCGGTGAAGTGGAACTCGACCAAGTCTCGACTGAGACGACTTGCCGAATTTTCATGAATCGCGAGCGTAACGATCTAAGTAATAATGAACATTTTCAGCTCAAGAAGTCATATAACAGTAACTGTTATAGTATGGCTGCGATTAGTATAATTGTCAAATAGTTATACTTACCGC